AGGGATCCGATATACTGATACACTGTCAGGGATCCGATATAGTGATACAATGTCAGGGGGCGCAAAATGGTGTTCTGCCCTCTGGTTACACCACTGCTCCTTAGTAAACGCATGTATAAAATAATCCTTTTAAAGGAGAACTATGAGATGAGTGATTTCCACTCACCTCATAGTTCTAGCCGACCTGTGACAATGAGACTGTCACAGGTCGGCTCAGTAGATCTGGAGGTGAGTGAACACATACCAGGTTCGCTCACCTCTCGATCCTGTCATGGCTCTCTGCCGTGACAGGGGTAGGGGCTGGATTCCCCCCTCCTCGCTCCGATCTGCCAGCGCGGACTGGCGGAACGGACGGGGGAGGTGGCGGGTACAGCTGGCTCTGCCTCTAGATAGGCAGAGCCAGCTGTCACTCACGCAGCTGGACGGATCCCGTCATCTACGTCGGGATCCGCTCCGGCTGCGGCGTCTCAGTATACCGCGAGCTGTAGCTCGCCGTATACTGAGCTTAGGGTAACGGGAGGACGCTAGTTTGTGTCCTCCCGTTACCCTAAGGAGAACTATGGGGAAAAACACTGACCCCATAGTTCTCCTTTAACAAGAAGAAGCCATTATAGCTGTTCCTAGTGTTTTATATCTGTTCCCTGTTCCCTTTAAAGGCCCGTTCCTTCTCTCCTTTAGGCAGCGAAATGGTGGAAAGCGAGTTAGAAAATATCCACATTGTGAAATCTCCGTATAAAATCCACTTCACCAAAACCTCCCAGCATTTCAAGCCTGGAATGCCCTTTGACCTTACGGTATGATGCATTGCTGAGTATCTAGAATATAATGATGGAATGTCTGCAATTGAACCTCACATCCTGAAGGCCTGACACAAACACAACTCCACTACGAACACAGCTCCACTATAGCATGAACTATGTCCCTACCTTCCTCCTTGCCTTTCTCCCCTTTCTCCCTTCCTCCCTGCCATTCCTCCTTTCTTCCTTCCTCTCTTACTATGTCCCTACCTTCCTTCATCCTTGCCTTACCCCCTTCCTTCCTTCCTTCCTTCCTCCCTTCCTTCACCCTTGCCTTACCCCCTTTTTTCTTTCTTCCATACTTCCTTTTTGAAAGAGTTGGCGGCTCAGTCATCACCCCAGAATCACGGAGCGGAAGTCATTTTTTGTTGGTCTGGGCCAGGGGGGGGAGAGGGGCCGGTGGGCGGCATGGTGTTCTGCTCAGATTTTGTACCTCAGAATCTAATAGCTTCTTTCTTATTCCTCAGGTGTTTGTCACAAACCCCGATGGTTCTCCAGCCAATCGGATCCGGGTGGTGGCTGAACCAGGAAGAGTTGAAGGTTTGACTGGAGCCGAGGGAACGGTCCGACTGACACTGAACACAGCTGCCAATCTAAACCGTCTGCCAATAACTGTAAGTGACCTTCTGCCCCTTCCTGCTCTGGAGGGAGGTCTTCTAATGCCATGTCATTAATAATAATGATATACAATATATAAATAATAATGAGGTCTCTGACCATCTCATGTAGTGTGTATGCAGTCTCTGACCATCTCGTGTAGTATGTCTGCAGTCTCTGACCATCTCATGTAGTATGTCTGCAGTCTCCGACCATCTCATGTAGTATGTCTGCTGTCTCTGACCATCTCATGTAGTATGTCTGCAATCTCTGACCATTTCCAGGAGCATGTCTGCAGTCTCTGACCATTTTCTGTAGCATGTCTCCAGTCTCTGACCATTTTCTGTAGTAGGTCTGCAGTCTATGAACATTTCTTGTAGCATGTCTGCAGTCTCTTGACAGTTTGCTATAGCATTACATACCCTGAGTATGATATGCGGCCCTTTGGTGAGTTCACCACCACCGCTTTAATGCATTTGGGTAATTTCAGATACAGAATGGAGGCTGGTTCAACGGGGGGAAAAAAAAAAAATATATATCTTAAAATTTAGAACAGTTTTGGAAAATCTTATCCATAATATGTCACTCTCTCTTCTATAGGTGAAAACATCTCAGGGTTTGCAAGATGAGAGAGAAGCCAGCGCAACGATGACAGCGACCGCGTACAACTCAAACGGCAATTACCTCCATATTGGTATCACCGCTGCTGAAGTCAAACCCGGAGAAAACCTTGCCGTGAACTTCAACATCCGTAACACCAATCCAGCACTTCAAAACCAAATCCAGCACTTCACCTACGTGGTAACTGGACTGTTCTATGTCGTTATTCTCACCGGGATGTTACAATCTAAATCAAACTCCACTTTTTTCACAATTTGATGCCGCAGAGCAGGTTATACTATTTGGAGGCTCATTCGGGAGGTTTCCCACTCCAGGACAGACCTTCCATCCATGTGTGAATGGGACCCAGTGGGGATCTCACCTTTATTGATTGGAAGATGGCAGAAGTCATTATGGTAGTCAGCACTGCATATGATGTCATAGTGCCCCCATAGTGAAGTAGTTCCTTATTAGGACTATAAGATCACATCACTAATTCCCTACGTGTCATGCAGATTGCAAATATTTCAATGCCAACCACTCAAAGGCATGGTAAGAACTAGGGTTGCACAGATACCAAGTACAGTACTCGGTACAAGTACAAGTACCGATACTTTTGAGCTCCAAGACTACACTAGAGAAAAATTCAAAAATTAGGAGGCAGCTGCCCTTTGTAAGGAGCACACGGAGCTCCTGGGATTTGTACATCTCTGTTTTAATGTATGATTTTGTTTTTATAAATATAAATAAAGGGATGCACAGATACCAGTTTTGCGAGTACGAGTACTGGTACTTGCCGAGTACTTACAAGTACGAGTACTGATACATTTTTGTTTATTGTCATGTGACAGTTTTTCTAAAACAATACAGACTAATGATTTCAGGACAGTGATGGAGCACCAGAGCCAGGTCCCAGCTGCAACCGCTGCAACCCTGGTAGTTCTCATGAAAATGCCAAGTATCTGCACTGGTACTCGAAAAGTATCTGTGCAACCCTAGTAAGAACAGTTTTGCTGAGATTCACTTATCATTGATTTTTATGAAGCACTGTACAAAGACATGTACGTGGCACAAACATACCCAGTGACATCTATGTACAAGAGCTGCAATACCATATCTGCACTAGCTCACAATATGTGAATGGATCCTGATGGCCCTATTGGAAAGGATATCAATCCTAGGCAGACCAACACCTTCCCTGCCCCATTGTAGGTGGGCCATCCCCTTCTCCTCCCCATCCCAGGCGAACCATCCCCTTCCCCACCCTATCCTAGACAGACCATACCCTTCCCCGCCCTATCCTAGGTGGACCTTCCCCCCCCATCCTAGGTGGACCATCCCATTCCCCTTCCCCACCTCACCCCATCTTAAGCAGACCAACACCTTCCCTGCCCCATTGTAGGTGGACCATGCCCTTCTCCGGCCCATCCTAGGTGGACCACCACCTTTTCCGCTCCATCTTAGGTACACCACCCCATCTTCCACCCCACCCTAGGTACACCACCCCATCTTCCACCCCACCCTAGGTACACCACCCCATCTCCCACCCCACTGATTTTAGATATTGTATCAACTCTGTCATTAGAAACTATATATGCAGTTTTGTTTAGAATGAAGTGTTTTAAATTCGAGTTAGCTTCATTTTATTAGCTAACCCAGCCCCAAAGATGAAAGTGGTTTTAGGTTACATATAAAAGCTGTGTGATTAGAAACTACAGTCTAAAAACATTTTGTTTAGACTGGACCATTTCATTAAACAGTAAAAGGGTCTCTCTCTCTTTTTCCTTGTGTGTTTATTGGAAATCCAGCATGGGGATCTAAATGTGTAGGGAGGTTCCAGCAGAAATATTACCAGTGTCAACATTTTAATTCATTTTCCTTTTCTTCATTGCAGTTAAGGAGGGCACTTCTGTGATTTTCATGATGTCTTTTGCTTCTCCACAGATCATGAACAAGGGCAGGGTGCTGCAAGCAAACAGACAAGTACGGCTGGCTGGCCAGTCCTTGGTGACCATGTCTCTCCCAATCACAGAGCAATTCATACCATCATTCCGCTTGATTGCATATTACTTCTTAGGAAATGAAATTGTGGCTGACTCCATCTGGGTGGACGTGGCAGATACCTGCATGGGAACGGTGAGCACCGTCACCTTTCTCACCTTCTAGGAATCCTGCTCTTTTCTAAGCCAGTTTATAGCATTACTGCCCTAGAAGTAAAGTAATTGCCATGACTAGGGTATTAAAGAAGCCTGGTCCCGGAACAAAGCTACCAATGCCATCACCCCACTCCATTAACCCTCAAATAGCCACACATTGACACAAACTGGAGTATTAATGGCCATAGCAGCGTTTTATTAACAAAACTCTTAAATAATACAAATCACAACAACAGTATTGATGGGGCCTGAAGTCTTTTTAGGCATTTTACCTTCAGATTCCGAACATAAAAGTAAGATAGGCCTCCAGCCACAGGAATATCGGCTTGGAGACAATTGCATTATTAATTACCAATACTACCACGCATTACACTATTACATTGGCTTTTTGAGATAGTAAAAGGGTTTTGCTGTACCCAAGATGGGTCCCTACCCAGAACTTCACCAAATTCCCGCTAGAAAAACAAAAACAGAAAACCCTTTACAAACCAAAAATTAAAACAAAGGGTGGCTGGGTGGGTGGGAAGTTTGCCGGACTGTCTCTCAACCAATTGACCACTGTTGGATCACCACTCTCTGCTTCACCCCTGAAGCCCCTCCTGTTCCTCTCAACCCACTAATCCACCACTGCTATTACTTGTAATGCTATAACTTAGCACCTCCTTCCTCCCTTTAAACCCAGTCATGTTGGCCCTCCGCCTATTGCGTTAAGCCTGCCTGCTCCAGACCTATATTTCTATAGGAATATAGGAAGAGTCTGGTGGACTTGGTCATCTGCTGTCTTCATATATGTCCTGGGGGATTTAAATCCTGCTGCTTTACTTACAGACTCTTTTTCTCTCAACTGGGAATTTAGGGGTTTTTGAATCTAAAACCTAAATGGCTTTGCCCATTTAGGTGGAAGCATCTTCCCCCCGGCCCTGGCCCGATCTCCAGCAGCACATACTTACTGCTAGGAGCCAAAAGAAATACCTGGTACTTGTGGGTATGGAGGATTATGCGACACAATCCATGTGACCAATTGTAGAAATGTCACCAGCACACCAATCCTTTTAAGATAGCAAAAGCTTAATTTATTGAAGTTTTTTGTCATATGACCAAACAAGCTCTTTCGGGACCGCACAGGGTCCCTTCATCAGGCTTTAGCATTGACATTGGTCAATGCTAAAGCCTGATGAAGGGACCCTGTGCGGTCCCGAAAGAGCTTGTTTGGTCATATGACAAAAAACTTCAATAAATTAAGCTTTTGCTATCTTAAAAGGATTGGTGTGCTGGTGACATTTCTACAATTG